CTTTTGCAAAATTTTACCAGTCTTTAACCTTAGCCATAACTCTGATTGGTTGATGCTAGGGCTGTCATGCTCAACATACATGTATTATTATTTCTTATGATAAGACCTTTCCTTGGGTACAAATATACATGTATTTGACTTATGACCTTGATCTTAGAGTTTGACCTACATGTACTTTTGAAAAACTTTATCCTTGGCTATAACCTTTGAATGGTAGGAGCTAGAGCTTCCGTATTTTACATACTAGTATGTGATTTCTTTCGTTTGAGGAACGAATTAAACAGAAATCATTTTCTGCTTGGTGTTATAATAAATTACATGTACTTGTTCGTAATTACAAGGTTTTCATTCGAAAACGTGGTTAATATCACGTGGTTCTTTAGAACCGGTCTCGTTAGCCAGGCTTTATAAGAGAGGAATAGTTGTTTTAATGCCAGTTTAAGACGTAGAGCATGATCAATGTTAAAATTTCATCTATATTTCTTCAATCCAACATTACAATATACATATATATATAATTATGGATTTTCATATTTTACATGTCATATGTACATTGTACAATAAAGCTGCTACGCGTCCTAGCTTTGTCCAAATAGTGTGTTGTTGTTTATTGTACTTTCATTTGAAAGTAATGAATGTACTTAAAATAGAAGTGTATTTTTTGTAATAAGACCTTTCTTTGGGTACCAATAATTTTGATCTTGACTTGGAGTTTGACCTACTTTTGAAAAACGTTAACTTTAACCTTGGCTAAAAGTTTTGAATGTTTGGAGCTAGGGCTTTCATATTTTACATGTGTATTTCTTGTAATAAGACCTTTCTTTTGGTACCAAAAATTTTGACCTTGATCTTGAAGTTTGATCTACTTTTGAAAAATTTTAACCTTGGACATAACCTTTGAATGATTGGAGCTAGGGCTTTTATGTTTTACATATGTATTTCTTGTGAGAAGACCTTTCTTTGGGTACAAATAATTTGATCTTAACCTTGGAGTTTGATCTACTTTTAAAAACTTTAACCTTGGCTATAAGTTTTGAATGGTTGGAGTTAGGGCTTCCAAACTTCACATGTGTATTCCTTGTAATAGGACCTGTTTGAGTACTAAGAAGTTTGACCTTGATCTTGGAGTTTGAACTACGTTTGAAAGACTTTAACTTTAGCCATAACTTTTGAATGCTTGGTGCTAGGGCTTTTATATTTCACAGGTGTTTTCTTAAGACAAGACCTTTTCTTCAGTACCAATATTTTTTTCTTTATTGTACAAATATCATTTCTGCTTGAACTTTCAGTAAGGCGTGATATTCTCGGCTATACATAATTAGCGTCTCTCAAATAATGACCTAGATTCTCATTGGTTGCCAGATTAGCTCATCAATACTGAAATTTACATAGCTTTTCATTCACGGGTGAAATACACATGGAATAAAAATGGTTCAGACGTTAACGAGTGACGCAAGGAACCAATTACATCGTTTCTTACAGTAAAGAGATGTGGCTTATGTCACCTCATTGTTTGTTAACAACAATCTTAAGTTGCTAATTTATGAATTTTTTAACCAATGTGAATCTAGGTCACCATTTGAGAGACGCTAATTATGTATAGCCGAGATTGTCACACCTTACTGAAATTCAAGCAGATATGATATTTGTACTATCTTGACCTTGGGAGTTTGACCTTATAAAAACCTTTTTTTTAAAACTTAAAACTTTGATCATCATTCTGAATGTTTGCTGCAAAGGCTTTCATGTTTTACAAGTGTATTCCTTGTACCAAGACCTTCCCTGGGGTACCAACATTTTTGATATCTTGACATTGACCTTGGAATTTGATTTGCATTTAAGATACTTTAATCTCGGCAATGGCAATAAGATGTCATATAGGGGCATCAGTGTTTCACAAACACATCTTGTTTATATAAAGCTGTAAAAGATTACTTTCAAATACCATTAATAATACATGTACCATATGCAAAAACTTAAACATTATTTTGTAACTGAACAGTTAAAATTTTGCACGGATCCTTTCTGAGTGTCTGGGCTTTTTCACTCAATGTCGTCCATGGAAGGACGTCCGTGATATAATCAAATGGACACGAAAAGCTTCCTGGAGCAGGTCACCAAACACCAGAATTACACTGCTGCCACGAATTTTGTAACGTGAAGCGGTCTAAACAGGTAAACAGGCTCGCCGCTGCTTAACTTGCCTGACACTGGGGGAGAGTCTATTGCTTCACTAGAAAAGCTAGCTCACTAGGGAGGCAGTATGTTCTCTGCCCGAAAGACTTTCCCTCAATCAGGGTAGTATCTTCACAAAGCATGGGTTCTCTTTGAGTGTTTGGGCCTCTTCAGTAACGGCGCCGGCAGCCGTCCATGGATACCAAGTCTCCGTAATTGAATGGACACAAAGTCCTAGCCCTAGAACTTCCTCAAACACCAGAGACACTACGCTGCCACCAGTTTTGTAACGTAAGCTGTCATCTATCCAAGCGCTAGGCTCAGAGCAGCTTAATTTGCCTGTAATCGAGGGAGACTCTACCGCTTCTATACAAAAGCTAGCTCACTAATTGGGCAGTTTGGGCTTCTTTATATACTGTCCGCTACAATTATACATTTAAAAACCTAGTTTTGATTTTTACTTTATGTAACAAATGCAATAAAAAAAAGTAATTGCTCATGTATGCATGCGCATTATTACCACTGACTCTTTGACAAGACTGTAGCTCTACTGATTTTTACTCATAATAAAAGATAAGGGAAAAAATAGCACCTTGATTTGAAAGTAATCTATGGAAACGCCAATGAATAGAAATTTCATTCATTGTTTAATCTACTATCAGCTTCCAAATCATACCAAAAACTGTAGAAGGTCTAGCGTTTTGTAAGAGTTCCATACACTTTTCTATTTTTAGTAAACATTGCAAAACCGTTTGTCTTAACCAAACACGGGAAATAACGCTGATAATTATGCATCTTAGTTTAGTCTTATTGTGTACTACATTTTAATAAAATCGGACCAAAAAACTGTATAAGTAGGTTTTAACAGTATTTTCTACTTTTAATAACCATTGCAAATTTGCAATACTATTCATGGAAATTAAAAAAAAAACAAAAACAAAAAAAAAAACAAAAAAAAACCCAGATATATAGAACTTTTAATCTTTAGGTTACTTGTGTGCTAAGATCTATTTTATCGGACCAAAATAGTAGAAGGAAAATCTTCTTATTTTTGGTTTTTGTTTTTTATAATTTCAGACAGGCAGACGGACGATGGACACATTGCTCTAAGCTCTTTTTATTTTCGATTTCAAAAACGAAGGGAAAAATCAACAACGATTTTAAATGAAATGTTTATTGAGGAATAAACATCTTTGTCAATCACATTTCAAGATTTCTCGTTACATAAAAAAGAACAATATATATACAAATAGACAAAATAAATTTTGCTGAGCAATTTTAAAATCACGATCTTTTTGTGTATGTTCTCATCAGTATCCACAAGAGTTTCACTGCTATGTTCTAAATTTTGAATTTAGCGGGTGGGAGTAAATACAAAATTTTAAATTTCGTATATACATGTACTCCCAACCGGTAAATTCAAAATTTAGAACATGATACCACAAACTTTTCAGATACTAGCTAAATCCCCAACATCAATTTATCATAATTTATTTAACTTTTACAAATGCGAAAAATGTTATATATAATGACCAGAAATGAGTATTTAAAACAAAATATGCCTTTCAGTGGCTTAGTTTTTGTATTATATGACGGTCTACATTTGATCCGCTTCTTTGAAAAGAATTGAAACTTTCGAAATTATACAGTCATTTCATGAGGTTGTTTTTGAATACCTCATTCGGAAAGCATTAATCTAAGGTTTAAGTTTTTGTCAGTAAAAAATAAGTTAGAAGAGTTGAATGAAACAAATATACTGAAAGAAATTTGCAAAGGAGTGAGTTCAGTTAATGGACTATTTTCTTAATAGATGTTACAGTCGTATGAATTTCTCATCATGATTTATCATGATGAACGTCATGAAATGAAAGTATACAAGTTAAGCAGTAACATCTAAAAATTATTTCCAGAGAATTTAATGTCAAAAAATACTTAACTCAAATATTCAGTATCTTGAGTTTATCCTACTAACACCTGATTTCAAATATCCTTTTTACACGAATATCGCTTCATATTGATATGTTGAGCTACAAAAACTTGTACTCGATAGACTTTATTTTTTTAAAAATAAAATCATTCTTGAGGAAATAAAATATGTTTTTAAAACTGCTCCCTGCTAATCTCAGTAACGATGAGATAAATTTTGATATGGAGAAAATAGGAAATGATGGGACGAATTCTTAAATCTAACAGTCTTACGAAGAAAAAGGGAATGAGAAAAAAAATACTAAGCTGATATTACACTTGCAGTGCAAAAAGACAAAAAATCGGTTCTGCATTATACAGTATGTGTACATAAGACAAAGATGTAACTGCAATTTTTCACTTGAAAATAAACTGACAAAAATCATAATATGTTTGTGTCTATTGTACAACTTGAATATGATTGTCGATTTTTCCTGCAATTAAGTGTTCATGCAACTGTCTTGCAATTGCGTGTTTGTGTGTCCTCAAGATCGAATCGTTCAACTCTACCAGCTTCTTTCCTCAAACGCATAAATAAACATAATACAATCAATCAATCAATCATCAGAATACCTTTACTCTCCACAATCACCCTTTTGCTCTCTAAGTAATGAACAATGTAACGATGGTGCTATGCAAATCTTAGCTATAACATGATTTTCGATACCTTCCGAAGTAAGTAATTTAGTTCCTACAACGGGCGTAAATATCGTCTTTTATTGTATTTTTGGTCATACGTAAAGCATCTTTAATGCTTCTACTTCCGCTTCCTGTTGACAAGCGTGTTCCAATTTTAGTTTCCTCTGCGCAAAAGGAAATCAGCAGATCGTATCCTTAGTCATATATGAGGCTTTACGTACGCTGGTACTTCCGTTTTGGTCGGCCGAATGCACTGTGTGTGTGTTTTGCTTTCTTGGACATTTTTGTCGAGCTAGACAGAGCTTCCCACAAAATACACGTTTGAAAGTGTTCCAGAACTTTTCACTGAACCAGCAGTAAACAATAAAATTGACGGAGGACTTAAATGTCAGCAAACTTTGTGCAATAAAAGTAACCAAGTTAAAGACTCGAATGTCCTCGGGGGTTTTCATTGTATAAACTGATATATGTCTTATGGCATAACACAATAGAATAGGGGCCTGGCACACAAAAAATACCATTATTATTCCAATCAACATCATTGTTATTTTAAGTTGTTCCCTTGAAATCATGTTTTGCATGTTGACATCATGGAATCTAGGATAATTTGTAGATTTTTTAATTTCTAGAATCAACTTGATGTTGAAAATAAGGAGCGCAATCAATGGAAATATACAGCCAAATATACAATCAACGATGATAGGGTAAACTATTCTATATTGACTCAGTCCCATTGCAGTTGGAACGGAATGATAAACAGTAATATTACAATGAACAGTGCTTTCGGTTCTGAATTCAAAAAATCGAGGGATTCTGAAAATAAATGAAAATATAAAAATGCCAGCTATGATCAGTCTTGCCCTGTTCACTGTGCAAATGGCGATGGCCTTTAGAGGATGACAAATTGCAATGTACCGCTCAACAGCAAGGACAACGGTCAGCCAAACAGAGGCCATAAGAAAAGTCTCAACGAATATTGGGGCAATAGTAGACGAATAAACATAGTATTTATAGTAAAATTCCACGTCCATATGCTCAGACGCCATAAACATTGAAACCAGACTGACGAGAAATCCAAGATCAGCAATGGCTAAGGCTGTTAGGTAGGAATTAGTAGACGTGGTCATGTTCTTCCTGCCAAGAACAACAACAGTTAGCACAATACCTATGATGCCAATCGCACACGCTGTTGGTTGAAACACGTTGAAGAATCGATGATAGTCCGGCAAATTGTTGATGAACATTTGGTGCGGGTGTTCTGAATTATCACAGTTGGAGATGTAGTATTCTGGGTAATCGGACTCGTTCCCATATTCATATAGATTATCCAAAATATCATCTATACTTGATTGATTATAAAGAGCAAGCAGGTGCGTGATATTTACACCGCCGTAGTTGTATAGGTCAGTGTAGTCCATCTTGAAGTTAGTAAAAGATTCTTGTTCCTGAAAAAAGAGATTGCCACTTTTACAATACATTCATCTCAATAGTAAGTTAGCATAAAGTTTTAGGTTTGTAGTACATTGTATATCTTGAACTCAAAAATTGTTTGCGCAATAGAAATGATGACTTTACTTGGAAAAGAAAACATTATCCTATCATTCTGATAACTTCTGGTTTTTTCAAGGGAATAAACCTGAAAATAAAATCTCCTTAATTCATATTCTCTGCTGGTGCCACTTAACATTCATTAACATCAATGAAGACTTTTTTTTCTGGGAAATCTCATTCAATAACCGTATCTTACGTTAAGTATCAAAACAATCCCTTATCCCCTCTAAATATTTGTAAATATCCCCAAATCAATGATAAAATTAGGTCATATCTATATTTAAGAGAAAGGAACGTGTTTCATTTTAGTTAAATTATACATCGCAGTGGTAACCTGATTAAGGACTGCGGGGTATCCAATGTTCTACAAGATGTTTCGCTATGGCACTAGTATCATATATTAAGCTATTTTCATGGCATTATCAAGCATTCGTCATCATCACTGATGCTGTAGATATTATGAAAATTGCTGCTCTGGTATTCTCATTTACTACAGTAAAACTCGTTTATAAGGAACTCCGAAATAAATAAATCTCGGTTATAAGGAATTTAAAATTTACTGGGAAACTCCTTCATGAATCTAACTTGGAAAAAAGGAATTCCCTTATTAAGAACTGCATTTTGTTCCCATATCCAGAGTTATGTTGCTTTTATTAGCAATACTTAATTCCTAGGTACGAAAATTAACATTTCGTGCATATTAACTTAGAAAATATTCCTATAGGACTTTTGTTTATGAATCAAATGTTTAAACTGACACGCAGATACTGGGCCAAACAGCCAAGGAGCCATTGCAGCGAGACAATATTCCAACAAGTGCGTATGCATTTGACGCTATATTTTTCCCGTTCTTTTTTTTCTTTTGTTTTCTTGGAAAAAGTAACGTGGACGTTTTTAATATTTTCCAAGGCCGTAGGAACCGGGGGCACGGGGGAGGGCGTGCCCCACCCAATAATTTTGCCGATATATAGAATACTATACAAAACATGGCTACTATTTGCTTGTGCCCCCTCAATAAAAACGTCTGATGACTTTTTTTATTTTTGCTTGTCAAGGAATTTTGGTAGTTGACAGTGCCCCTCCAACTGAAAATGTATGGTTGCCCCCCCCCCCCCCCCCCAACTGAAATTGCTTCCTACGGGCATGTTTACCTTACATGGAAGATAAAAGTAGTGCAAACTAAAATTCATGAACTTTTTCTTACAGTTAAGGAACGTTAGAAGAGTTTTCATAATATAAGTGATGTACTAGAATGCATTGTTAACGAATGTAAAATACAAAACGGAAATCCTTTTCTGACCGATATGGTTTTAATCATAGAATATGTAGATATTAGGCTTTATAATCAACAATATTACTCGATTAATTTTCATTTAGAAGAGAATTAACAATGTTCACGTACTAAATAGATGCCTCGAACTTCCTTATCGATTTAATTCAGAGCTTTGTGATAAATATAAAGAACTTTAAACACTATATGAAGAACTTCCTTATAAATATAAAGTATTTCCTCGCTCACAGCTATGAGGAATCTGAAGAAAGTGAAAACCGAGGTATATAAAAATTCCTTATAATCGAGTGTTTATCATAAATCTCAGTCTCATTTTTCAAACTTCTCTTTTGCTTCTAAGATCCCTTTGAACCAGAACCAAATTTTGATTTCCGTTGTAATAAAAAAAATTATTTTACACAAACTCTGATTGTTCAGCAGAATGGAACTCAGATAAAAACAAGCAAACTAGATTATATGAAATCAACTCCAATTACCACGGGTTATATACATGAAAAATGCCTAGGCGTAATACGTTAAAATACTACCATACACGTGCACAAAGCATAACAAATGACATACATGTAATATGAACTTTGACAGTGCAGTTCGATTAACACATGTTTCAAGAAAGTATATAAAGTCTATGTTTTTAAAAATATGTTAAATGCAGACTGGACTACATGTAACATATGATAAACAGATGTATATGCCAAATTATTTATATAAAATATATTTAATTGATATGCTTCTATGATTTTTGATTCACAGAGCTTACGCTTAATACCAAATATACATGTACATTTCTATGAATGTTAGACTTTCTTTTTTTCGGGACAATTTCACATGATCTAGCTATATAGATAATATTATGCTCCTTCATAGCATGCAAAGCTAGTTTACGATAAGCAGTTCTTTTTTATTTCATTTCAAATGCAAAAATGCAATATGTTTTACAAAATCGTGTATTTATGTTCTCGAGAGAAACGCCTGTATATTATCAGATTACGTGAACTTTTGATGTCTTTTTTTCCTCCAAAAGATTAATTGCTTTACCAATAAACATTCCCACGTATCTGGTTTATCATCAATTTGATGTCTAAAATCGCAGAATTAATTATTTAGACTCAATGATATATATATTTTTTTCTTTTCGATGTTCAAATAACTGCAAGGGTATGCACAGAGCGATTCAAAAGCAATTCAGAGTTGAAATTTGAGCTGATTAATGCACTTGTAAACAGATTCATGGATAGGGCTTCTAATACCTTATAATTAGAGCATATACTGTCGTATTAGCAATATTTTTTCTGTATAATATTGCTAATATTGAATTAACAAATGAAATTAATTAAATGCTTGAGCTTCTCTCGTACAGTTTAACTTTGCACTTCAATCTTTTTGTTAATGTATTTTCATATTGCAAATCTTGTAGTTTTTTCAAAAAGTTAGATAAAATGATTAATTTTAAAGTTACAGAATCAAACAGATATTGATATGCTACACCCAAATGTAATTGATCATGAAAAAACTCGTATGATCATCAATACATTCTTCGTCTCTCAATGAATAAGACAAAGGCGGTCATTTATTGTGTGTTTTAAGCTCAAGGATAAAATTGTTTCTTCTGATAAACTACATACTCTTCCCGTCCTCAAATTAAAACTCTAAATCATTACATTGAAAAATCAAAAAATAAAATCTTTATCAAATGTCTTGAATTTCATATTTTATTACGTCAAATGAAGAAGTATGATTTCTTGTTCTTACTTGTGAATTTATACTTGGATTGATGTAAATCAAATAAAAAAAAACATATCCATATCTTCACGCGAATAATGAACAGCAATGTCATATTTTGTTACTGATTTTTTCCCTCACTCCTTTGTTTTCCAGTTTCTTTTCTCTGAATCTCTTAAGACGGTCGTTAATATGATGTGGTGATAAACTGAATCTCAGAAGAATCCAAGACTTGACAAGAGATATAAAATTCTTTCTGGAATTCAATCAGACTCTCCCTCTTAAGTATGTCTGGCACTCAATAAACACCTGAGATCATTACATTAGTTAAGTATTTGAATTACAGACGAAATGTAAAACAAATGCACTGCAGCGTTTCATTTAGTTGTTAGTTTATTGCTGGATCAATTCCAGTCTGATGCATATATTTTCCGATAAGCTTTCTTCTATATATTTCTGAGAAATAAAATATTTTTGACTTCATTTAATTATAACATACTTATGTCATTTATTTAAAATTTATGTTCCTAAACATGCATTCTTTATTTCAATTGATAGAAAAATTTTGTTCTGGTAAGAAAGTAAAATAAAATCTATTGGGTAAGGTGTAAAAACACTTAATCTTACCGTGGAGCACTGAGCTAAATTCTCAAAAAGAAGTCCTTCATTTATCGAAATTGTAAAATTAGATTCTCCGACACCAAACAGCAAACCTTATTTTTCAAAGGAAGGGAGACAGAATAGTGCGAATAATTGTTCACTATACGCGCGAGAATACAGAAATGTCAGATTGTTTTAGATCCAGTTTTTCCTTCTTTTTTCTCACCCTCTTGACCACCGTGTGAGTGTGAAAAAGCACTCTATAACGCGTGAATGTCACTCAGAATTAAGGTCTAAGCTTCATATCACAGGAAAACCTCCGGAACACTCGAAGAATTTGATGCGAATGTTGCGAACTCTAAAAGAATTCCTTGTTATAGCACCTAGTGGTATTCCCGTTAGGACAGAGCCACTGATACCTGTATCAATAACAGGCGTGGAGTATATTAACGACTCTGGCCTAAGATAAATTCAGAATTGTTCTGAGAGGCGATTCCATTTCCAGGGTTAGGAGGAGATTTGTGGTTTCCTAATGCTTAGAGATAAGGTATTACGTACGACTTCCATTAAGTTTTTCATTTTAATAAAAGATATGAGTTCTGTTGAATTTGTATGACGAAGAGAAACTTTTAAGAATTCACAAAGTCATGTTAATTATCGCAAAACAGGCATGATTTATCGACGGACCAGGGGAGTGCGGTTAGAATGAAGTTCTGGGTTAACTCGCTAATCTCACTTTATACAACTCCTTCAGGTCATTGGGTGTTTACATAGTACTGCTATTTTATCAAGGCAGATTTTCATTGCATCACGTTAGAATCAGTGAGAATAAATTCAAAACAAGAAACAAACAAAAGTTTGAATAATATTTTGAAAAGTTAATTATTAATTATACATGTATTTTTAAACGGGTTCAAGAGAGTTCAAGAGATGGTCCTACATGTAGGTCAACTGCGTGGAAGTACCTCATGACTATTGTAACTGTAAATGAATTTAATGAAGAAATTTAGAACCTGTTCATTCAGTATCATCCGAAGGACCGCAGAAATTATCTCGCAATCTGATACCAGCAATGGCAAGGTTTCATTTCCTGAATTTTCATCTACAAAATTCTCGCACATTACTTTTAATTGATTCTTTACTTGGAAAATTTGGTTCTGTCTGTTAACCAGCACATGTTTTTGCTATTAAAGTGTAAATTTTGGACTCTAAATAAAAAAGAAAATCATTCAGGCTTTGACACACGTGCTGGTTTTTGTATGCATTCCATCGTATGTCAGTACC